GTTATTGAAAAGCCTTTTGCAGCATCTAAGACCGATGAAGAGGTTCCAAACCAGGGGAGTGCATCGATGGGAATTACCAGAAGCAAATAAATTATCTGAAATAACAGGCCGCCCAGAAGCAGTACCAGTTTGCCTGAGTTCTCGCGAACGTTCTGGCGGGCCCAGGATCTTTTGTCTGCAAGAAGAATAGTATCACTGTTAAGTTCAGAAGCTGTAGTATTGGTATCATTGACGTGTTCGATATTCTTATTTCCGTCGGCATGTGCATTCATTGTTTTGGTGTCTTTTATAATCAGCGCATCCAAGTAGAGACGCTGCGAGACGCACCACAGTCCAAAAACAATACAGCTGAGAAAGTGTATAAATGCCCACGAGAAGGTCACTCTCTTCAAATCGTCTTCTCGAGCCTCCTTAAAGGTGCTGACACTGGGAAGCAGAATACCACCGACCAGCAGAAGAAGGGATACAATAAAGAAAAACGAGAGATAATCGCGCTTGCGTTCTTCAGGAATAAAGAGTACGGTCCATATCTGTGCACTGAGTGGTATGGTGCAAAGAAGTATGGCCTGCAAAAACATGGGCGTATGACTGACCGCATAAACCGCAAGCAACGAACTTCCACCATTAAGAACTCCCGATGCTATCAAAACGACTATTCGATAGAGAGGGCTCCTCATGCGATTAGTATCTACAATAGCATGCCACATCTCCTTTACACCATACAGAACAGCAAACACGATTGTCATCAGCACGAAGGCCATCTCAATAAATAGCACGGTGACAAGTAGAAGTGCAATTTGTGCAGAGTTTTTAGCGCTGAGTTCCTCCGTAAACACCTTGAGCCAAAAGTTTATCGCAATCAAGCCGATGACGTTACCAACAATGACAAAAGCGACAAAAAGAATGGCAAAGAAAAATCCGAGGGTGCATTTCTGATTACGAACGTCGTTGAATGTTTGGACGAATTCATTCAAAACGGATTCCTTGAACCTTTTTACGACTGTGGGCATTGGGGTCAGAATTGCTGATTTTCTGTTTTTCCTTCTTGTATTTGCCTTTATAATATATTCCTCAAAAGACTGTTTGGGGGTGTGATATTGGGGATCTTTAAAAAAATGAATACGAGGTAATTAATGCTGTAGTAACGACCTTGGAAAATATTAAAAATAAACTTCATGACATGCAACACCGTAAGGGAAATAAAATAGCGTTAATCCAAGTTGTGAAATGCATAGGAGTGATATTTATGGTACTAGTAAATTTCGTTTAAGAAAATAGGACCCCATGAGTGGTGAATGAGATGAGTGATGTTGCAGGGGGAGGCATAAAGTGTGCAACAATTGGCAAGCTCACAGAGGCCATTCGATAGACTCCGGATAACCAAAAACCGTGGTGCGGACATAATTCCTCATCCGTTGGTCCATCCGTACGAAGCGAAAAAAGAGAAAGGAATAACCATTAAATTCCGCATTCCGCATTGCTGACACAAAATAGAACCATACAAGAAGTGGAAGACGCTTTCAAGGCGTTCCCTGTGGCTGATACTACCTAAACATAGAAGGTGAACCAAATTGGCCGCCTTTCTTCTTTCTATTGTGGGGCAGCCATGAGACATTAGCACAGGTGGGTGCACATGCATTGGAACGAAGGGCTTTAGCAGAAACACGGATGCCAATTGCATTCGCAGAGTACAAATCTGATTAAGAAAGTGAAATTATCCAATACCCAATCGCAATGGGCGTGATGCAGCTTCATACAACCCGTTGCCTCAGCCTGTGCCCCCTCACCCCACAGACTACAGCTTATCATAAGCCGCTCGTAAGCTTGAGTTCCGTAACACGCGGTAGGCCTCATTAACCTTTGCCATTTCGTCCATAGACCCGCCTACGTCGGGATGCTGTTTCAGGACTAATTTACGATGCGCAGAGCGTATTTCATTCACTGATTCGTTTCCCGTCAGACCCAGGCACTTATAGTAGCCTTTTGAGTCGCAAATATGGGATTGTTCAACCCCACCACAGTAATCTGTTGTGGAAGAGAAGGATGTCGAGCGGTGTTGGTGTGAAAATCCCGCATTACGTGGGCGCTGCTGATATGCGTGTGTATCCCAGTAGGAGGAGTTGAAATAATCTGTTTCAAAGCGTCGTGAGTGAGGGCCTGGGCAGTAGCCCTGTTTGTCAGCAATATCATATTTTTGCCGAAGCCGTTCCTGTTGCCACTGTTGAAAGTTTCGATATAGGAATGGATAGCACTTCGTGGCAAAGAAGATTGCATAGTATACCATGATTGCCGTTACCATACCATATATTATACCAAGGACTTTGTTTCTTGCTTGAATTACTATCATTACTACACTGATCAGTGCTGTGGTGCGGGCAATATACAATGAGTTGAGCAGGTGTGGGCCTTTCACTTTCCCGTCGATGCCAGAGACGAAAACTATATATTCTTCTTCACCGTAGCTTAGTTTAACTGTGAAACATGGCACGAAACACGGATAAACCTCATTAATTTTTATGTCGAGGTCCGAGAACGTAGTAGATACCGTGCTTGCAGTAGGGTGAAAGGAACGAATGATGGATTCGGCGGTTCGTGTAGCTTGTTCCTTGACGTTGCTCGATATAAAGTTTCGCATAACCTCAATTGACTGCTCGAAAAGATTAATCTCGGCGCCTGTGGTGTCTATATGGTTCATCTTTTTCATTAGCGTGTAGTTGACCGTACTTTTGAGGGTGTAGTGTATATTTGTGATGTTGTATTTGTATCCAGCGTAAGTCTGTGTTTGGTCACACTGAAAGGTCATTTCCAATGTCTGCGGAGCGGTTTCGACGTATCTTGATGAGCTGGTGCTACGCGTGTTGTTTGGGTTTCCTCCAGATTCGTTGTAGGAGACTGTTCCTGTATAAGCAGCGCGAACGCATCCAGAGCACAAATAAAACGGCAGAAACTCTTTGGCGGGCTCACCAAATGACATATAGTCAAGCTGCGCTCCAAACCAGCCCTTACTATACTTTGTATGCACATGTTTTATGGCTTTGTCGGAAGACAGCATAAAATCCACTCCACGTGGTGAATGAATCGTGAACAGACATGTGAAAGTTTTTCTGAACATGACCTAGAACCTTTCTGTATTTAGTGGATAAATATGCTTGAGTAATTGAATATGTGAAAAAGCATATATCAGGAGAAGAAAAACACTTGAAAGAGGCAACGAAAAGGTTCCTCACAAAACAGAACTCATGTTTTTTACCAATGTGAATGAATAAAGAAATCAAAGGAGTAAGTGTTTAGCTATGACAAGAGTAAATATGCAAACTTGTGGACTCAAATACTACCAGAGTTCATACTAAACTAGATTTACCGTTTTTTGTTGATCAGTTTTCTTCTCCATCGAACGAAAATTTCTTGCATCCACACGAGCCTTTCATATTCCATTCCTAAAACTAAACTACAGAATCAAGAAAGATAGCATAAAACAGGAGGAAGGTTGTGCACAGCAAATATCCCCCCTACTGCTACCTCAGTTCAATATATTGACTTATTGTTGTCGAGAAGATATTGGATTACACACATTGCGTCCCACCTTCTCTTACACACACGTACGCAGCAGCCTATTCGTCTCAATTTAACGCACCTTTTTGATCACCTTCGCCCAACACCGGAAATGTACGACATCCACCAGTACTTCCTCCTTCCCAGTGATTGCGGCGTCACACCCTGGAACCTCAGAGCCCTTGATTTCATCGGATTTTGCCCGAAAAATTCGAATGGTGGGAATCTTTACTATGCCTTTTTCTATCTCTATACGGTCTACGAGATCGGTGGAGGACTCTTGATATGTGATACTTTCTGGGAACATCTGCCGTTCCCCTCCTGCCGCGACGCGAACAGCATCTGAGTGCTGAGTACTAGATGGAATCATCATCGACGGGCTCCGGTTTCTGAAGGAAGGCGCAGACCCAGCGTTAGGGTTCTCAGGGAGAAGCGGCAGTGCTGTAAAATACATCATCACCTCATCCGTAGCTGACAGCGTCTGACGCGTGCGCTTTTTCCCGATTACCATCCATTGTGCAGTATCAAAGTGCAGCTCGATAAAGAAGTCGTTCTCAGCCCTCGAGCCCCCCGGCCAGTTATGGAGGAGGGGGCTCAAGCGTACGCTGAAGCGCACAGGCTCGCCAGCTACCAAAACAAATTCATGGGTTTGTTTTAGAGTGGAATCGTCCTTCTGCTCGTTTGTCATGCCCATAACGTGATGTGTCCCATCGACCGTCATTCCATCCTGAGTTTCCCAGTTCGACTCGGCCTGAATGATGGCAGTGAAAAGGCAAAAATACGTGGAGCGGAATGATGCGGGCGGCCCATAGTAAACATTGCACGATGAGGACAAATATGCCAATTCATCAGGGTCGTAGAGGACTTCCGTATCCCTCGCCTGGTTTTGCGATGAATCGCTCCATCGAATCGGCGGAAGTACGTCCTGACGTAGAGGGAGGGAAGATGAATCTTGTGTAGCTCTGGTAAACATGGTGTCAGAGAGTTTTATTGCCATTGATGCGCCGCTTCTACTCTGATTTGAGTCTGATGGCTTCTCTTGGAAACTTTGTATCCCTGTAGGATTCATCCTAGAGCCATTGTCGTGCGAAAATGGGCCCCCATGGGGATTCGTAAGGTGAAGAACAACGCGGTCTTCCTCACATGTCGAGACATATGTCTTATGCCAGTTTGAATAGAAGATCTCAACCTGAACACTATGGTGGAGTGCCATCCCCATGGCGACGAAGTCGGTGTGCAGTGCGAGTTCAAATAGCAGCTGACGCGCCTCCTGGGGCTTCCATTCCCGCGTGATAAAGTCGTGGTATACCTCGCTCACGCGTCTAACGCGGTAGGTCCGCCTGGGATCCAGAACACGCAAAGTCACCCCACGCATCCATAGAGACGTCTGATTTAAGAGGTTTTTCAGCTTAACAAGACAGTAGACACGTGATTCACAATGCTGGAAAACGTATTCCGCGGTAATGGCTTCTTGAAATGGAAAAGAAACGCCGCAGCTGGTGCTACTAAGGTCACCTTGTCGTATACAGCAGAAATGGATATCATTATTGATCGCCTGGTCCCGGCAATGGGTCATAAAAAGGGGGAGAAGGGGGATCTTGAGTTCCATCCTGTGCGCAATTTTGAGAAGCGCTCGCAGGTTGCTCGCATCTGCTTCGGGGAACGTATGAGAGACATTGGAATCCACTGCAAAGTTGGTGTCATTTTTCTTTCTCTTCGTTTCATTTCTTTGTTGATCCGCATCATCGTTTAACGCCAAACTGAAGCGAGACTCCATCTTGGGATGCAATGACAGACTGCTGAACACAACAAAGGGCAGTGGCACTTCCTGCACAGTGTTCTTACCATCCTCATGTTGAGATGACAACAAATGAAGTTTTGGCATCTCCGAGAAAGTGGACTGCAGGTCTAGCGGGATTTCTACTCGCGATGGGTGCATTGCTGCCACGTGTCTCGCATGACTTTGAGGGAGATCAAAAGCTGAGAAGCTATCATTTGCATCTTTATACGCCGCATTAGTGGAGAAAGAGGAGGCAGATGGGAATACGACCTTCAGACGATTTTGCAGCGTAAGTCCCTGACTAACCTCCATCGGGTCCTTTTCAGCGTACTCGACCCTGGTCTTCGGATGCGCCCTGGGGAGTCCATTCTCAGATTTCAGGGGACCCCGCGTCTCGCCCGTCCTCAACAAGGAAGGGATTGACGGGCTTTTAGCCTCATTGGGGGCCGCAAAGACGTGGGGTGGGCGGATGGGGTCCTGCGCGTCGAGGACGTCGAGCGGCGCCGCACCACCCCAACCCCCGTCTGTCTTCCTCAGAGTGGAATACCGCGATGGGCCGCCACGGCGCACAATCGACAGAATCGCCACGACGGAGGGGTCCGCGATGAGGGGGAACCCCCCCCCTCCCCCGCGTCCAAACCCATGGGAGAGGAATGAGGGATGTGGAGGGTTGTCGGGGAAGGAAAGGAGGGATATCCCAGGTTGGTAAATGGCGCCCCCAACTTAAGCAGAGGAGGCCCACAACCGTGGTAACGGTTCCCTCCGGACAACACATCTGGAGCGGCTTTAAAGCAACACGTTGATTTCGGATTTTCCCCTTGACCGTTTTCATGAAGTTTCCGAGGAGGGAGGGGATTAGATTTTAGTTCGGGATCTCTGAGGTTGCATGGTGTATCTTGATTTACATTAGGGTGCAGATTATGTATAGGGAACGTCCCAGCAGAGTCAAGCGCAGCCTCGGATTGCAGTGCTGGAATCTCCAGAGGCTCCTCCATCTCAATGAAAACCGTGAAATACGACAACGCGTCTGCAAAGCAGTGCTCATCGCAGGGGAGGCGGCGAATGCTGAGCCGAACCTTTCCAGCTGGTTCAGAAACATGAAACAAAACTTGCGTACAGGAGAAAAGCAGGGCTGCAGGACCATTCAGACGCAAAGCGTGGGCATGGAGATGCAGAGCTCTCTTAAGCACATGCACTTCATTATCGATTCGTTGCGTACGGGCAGGTTTAGAACTATTTAAGCTTGAATTAGCTTGAGACATACTGCCGCATGGAACTTCATCATGGAATGGGTAGTAGACAAGTCTTGTCGAACCGTTAACTAACTTCAGGCAGCGAAGCCGATAGTGGCCAGCATGACATGGCGTCGTGCTAAACTGAAGCTCCATGCGATGCGTATTCGGATTGTAGCAAGTTGTACTAGGTTCGATGCGCTTGAGTATGTGGATCATCTCTAATGAATTACTCCATTCCTTTCGTGATTCCAGAACAGCACAGACCATGGTTGGGCGTCCGTGAGAGGAGAATACCGAACGTAAAATGTCAACAGGACATTCAAAGTTCAAAAAAATATTGACGGGGTCCAAGAGCCCAAGATGAATTTGTTTCGTAGTAGGTGTTGACAGGCCTTCCAGTTTGTCAAGGGGTGCTGCCCATACACACTGATTCCGCAGAAGTAAATCAAAAGGAAACTTCGGTATCTTTCCTTTAAACAAGGGAAACTCTACTAGCGCGTCAACGTGCAAGACCATCTCCCAGAAATCAACTTGTGTTCTTGATGGAAATATAGAGTACAAAATGGGGCTGTGGGTGTAGTCTATTTTACACATTGTGTTTACAGTGTCAATACCAGCATTCGGTTGCGTGCTTGAGCATCCTTCGCTGGATTCACTGGGGAAGCCTATCAAAAATAGCAGAGATTCCTTAAACAATGCGTAGGGTGTTTGGATGTTAAACAGGAGCGACCACACTTTTACCTTCGTCTCCGCATCCCAGCTTTGTTCTTGTGTCTGGATGAGAGAAAATAACTTGTGAAGGCTCTCAACGTACAATAGTCGGAAAGTGTACTCCAGATAGCACCAACGGTGCGTTCTAATAAAGGGGATCAGACGGTTCGCTGCAATGGTGGCTGTCAGCTTTGGATTCTCATGGAAAAAAGAAAGCGCCAGAGACCCGTAGTGAGTGCACTCCCTCCGGTGCTCCCCTGATATCCCCAAGGCGGCAGCAGCTAAGGCCGTGAGGTATCGCCAAAATTGACGCGCCCTTCCAAGAGAGAACTTTATACCCTCCTGAAAAGACCCTTGCACCTCCTGCTTGACGTCGGTGTCTCGGCTATTACTACAGTTGTTTTTGCTGCGAATGTTTAGTCCTTCCCAGCAGGTGGCTACGTTGTTATAGCCAAAGGCTTCACATAGTGAAAGATGCGATTTATTTGCGCAGACCACCAGCGCAGCAATTTCTACACAGCTTCTCCGAACACGCGCCAGACTGTCGGCATCATCCGCTATCACAGCGGGCACGGCATCACTCGGCACTAGCTTTAGGAACTTTACAAGCTCCACAAGTCGCGCAATTGAGTCGTTCAAGGTATTCGTACCCTCCCTAAATATCATGTTTAACAGCTTATGCTCCAATGCTTTACCGTTTGAAAAGAAGTCCGTTGAGAGACTATCTTCGTCCTCATCGCGTATAAAGTCCGAATCTACTACTTCACCTTTTAGAAGGCTTAAAAACGAACTATCGAGTTGCGGGAGATCGTAGGATGTCGTGGATAAGGCAGCACCACTCCCTTCACGATCAGTTGGGGAATTGGATGAGAATTCATCTTTTGCATTTCTTTCAACATAGCCAACGATATCTTGTGGCGAAGCCAAAGTCGTCCGCAGCGTTGAAGAGGTAAGTCCGTAAGTTGGCCACAAGGTGCTCAGCCCGGATAGAAAGCATTTCAAAAGAAAATAATCTCGGTGAACTCGTGGGAACAACGCCGCTGGGGGCTCCGTGAACTTCTCCTGAACCACATTGATAAAAGTGTCGAAAAAACGCTTTTTAGCTGTCGTAACCTGACCGTCAAGGAGCGTAACGCAGGTTATGGCGTGTGCGGTAATCAAAAGAAACCCATCAATAAGCTCTGCACCATGCTCCAATGCTTTAGGGTACTTCGTCAACCCCATCTCCCCTCGCGTATCGTACAGGTCAAAAAGATTTTGCATCCAGCCAAGTCTTTCTAACGTTTCCGTCTTGCTCACAAAGCTGTAGTCGTCGGAGTTGTTGTAGTATTCCATGTAGAGTCGATCAAACACGGCACTCGCCTCACGGAGAAAGCCGAAGCTTAGGTAGTACCGAGCGAGGTCGAGGCCGAGCTGCCAGAATTGATGGATACTCCAAGTTGTGAGGATCGTCGCGGAGAGTTGAGTGGCGTTGAAGACGTTTGGCTTATGAGAGATTGTGCGTGCGAGGGGGTTTTTGGTCAAAGATGCCCCCACACTCTCTGTTTTCATCATATTCGAGTTGCTATTTGCCATAGAGCTGGTGGAGCGTGAGTGGATACCTGATGGGAGTGGAGAGGTATATACAGATGAAACGCTTGAGGGCCGGTCATGTATGTGATCAGAATCGCAAGAGGTGGTCTGAACTGCTGTAGGCGAAGGAAGTAAGAGCAATATTCCATCACTACTATATGTGGGAACATGACGAGTATAGTTGGGGTTTCCTAAGTCCTTTTCCATTGGTAGCGACTGTTTTTTTTCTAAATACCAGTGAAACCTGTCCTTCAAAGTTTTGATCATCTTAATGGAGGCTATGCGTATGCATTCGAGAAGCTTTTTGGGTGTTTCAGTTGAGACATAGGTGCATATTTGCTGAGGTGAAAAGCGACAAGACCGGAGTTCAGTATAGTAGGACTTTAGGGCGACAGCCATGGTGTCTATTTTAGCATCGGGTGTCACTAGTGATTTTCCTTTGGAGGTCCCTTCGACGAAATTTAAGTCTCGCAGAGACGACGCCTCAGGGGAGACGAAGTCTCTGTGATGAAGTATTACTAAACTACATTTCTCACCAGTTTTGGCAAGCTGCGCACGCCATTCCTTAGCAATATTTGCACAAGATCGCGGACGAGAATAAGACTCATTAGTGGAATAAAGAAATATGTTTAAGCCCATATCGCCACTCCCTGAAAAGACCTCAAGTGCCTTTCCAAATTGAATCGTCACGGAGCTCCCTACCCTTTCTGTCGTGTTATCTCCTCCACTCGTTGCTAGCTGTTGAGGGTGAATGCTTGATGTAGGGATCGGCTTCGAGAAGAAGCCCTGAAGCTCACGAATGGCCCCCTCCACACACTGGGGTGTAGCGACCTGCATCCCCTCCAGGTCGACATGCCGCACAAAACACACAACCAGAAGAGGATGTAGATGAAAAACGGACTGAAGGGTTGTCCCTGAGGTATCGCAGATTTCACTACTGCTCATATCATGGTTTCTACGACGAAGGTTATTTTTCCTGTCAACGTGAAAATTTTTCCAGTGGCTACTAGGGAGATGATGGGAGGAGGTAGACTTTTGGGGTGTTTTAATTGGTAGAGAATCGAATATCGTGGATTGAGTGGTTATTCCTACTTGATTTACTAAACAGTTATTATGAAACTGTTGCATAAAATATAACGAATCTAAGAAACCTTTTTTTTTTCAAAGATAAAAACGAAGAAAAAGAGCGGAGGGTAGTGTTTTTATAAGGTTGAAAACGATGTAAAGGTGTTCCCTGAGTGGTCCCACATTTGTTCTACGCGACTTTTCCATCTATTCGAAGTGGGAAAAAAAAAAAGATTCACTCTTGTCTACTTTATGTCGCATCGTTTCGCTTATGGATTCAAAGATCAATATATACGCGAAAATTTCCTTATCAAATCAGCATTAATGTCCAATTGGACTAATCTATTCCCATAGTATTACAATGTATATATATAGAGAGAGAGAGAGATCAAGGATAACGAAAGAAAGTGAGCAAAATAAAGGAATAGAACAAGATTTTCTACATAAATACCAAATATCGAATATCTTTTTATATTTACTTTCCAACTATGTTCGCTGCTTGTATTTTGTCTCTTTATCTTGTTCCCCTTCCTTCCTTTTCAGAATTTCAGAGCGTCACAAAATCCTCAACATGATACTGATTCTCGGAAGTTGATGCGAATCGGCGGTTTAGTTCCAAGCGATCCACCCACACGTCGTGCTGTTGAATACCATCCTCATTTGTCTCTATCCCTGCAATCGACGCGCTCCCAAATCGTTTCAACACCTTTGTGGCGTCAAAAAACCTATACTTTTGATCTAAAGACCATTTTTGGTTGATAATAGTTATGTGATGAAGTTTGCAGTGATCGGCCTCATTTTGGTCAGTTATTAGCTCCGCAAAGGTTTCAAATAGTATGTCCTGAAGTTGTCTAAGACGAGCGGTGTGGTAAAGCTCCATGTAGACAACGCTGCTTCGGCGAGGATCTGAAGAACAATTTTGTCTATTTGGCATTACTTGCAGCCCGCCTAGCGTCACTCGAAGCCCATCCGTCTTTTTGAAGTCATGGGGCATTTCTTCTTTGAGCTCCAATTTCTGAAAAGAAACCCAGCGTTCAGCGAATACATGTAAAAGACTCTTTGCGAACTCCACATCCTTCTCAGTTTTGAGTGATAACATCAATAGAGTAATGTGCATTTTATCGACATTGGTTACGTTTTGTGGTCTCGGGTTTTGCACATGAAATTTTCCATAACTTTTCATTTTTTTGGTTGCCGATTCCTTTGAAATCGAGATCTCATTAGTGCCACACTCTTTTTCCAGAAAATCACGTAGGGTTTGTAAGAAGGCTTCCGCCAAAGGCCGTACCGCCGGGAGTTTTCCAATTGGAAGAGAAATAAAATGAGTAAAATTAGCGGATTTTTTTTTAGATTGGTTTGATGAACGCGCTTTTTTGGAGCCTGAGATAATCGCACCTTGCTTTGTAGGTGATACGAATTCCTTTTGTGTTTCATCCTCATTATCATATCGATCATAACAGATCTCCTTGGTGCACTCATCAAGGTTGATCTCGGTACTACTGTCTTCCTTTTCTGAAATATCTGGATGAGAATCCGAAGAAGATTTAGTTTTATTATCTGTATCCACCCTAATGGGTTCGACAAATTGACGATAAACACGATGGGTGTTGGGTATCTTGTAAAGACGTACTTGGGGGTCGTTGATATGATCCGGAGGCCGCAAATCAACATTGCCCAGCTGCTGGAAATCCGTCGTCCTCATTCCTTTATTGGTACGGAATTCCATCCCAAGACAATTCCCGCACACGTGCCGAATATCCAGGGAGGTTCGCCCGCACTGAGGGCAAGTCCAGGCCTTTTTACTCGGCTGTGTAAGGATGAAGCTTTTTGTTTCCCCCTTTTCCCTCTGCGCGGGGTCTTTCCGTGTGGAGCTGTGGGATGGTGACAGTACCGGTGTATGTGACATGAAGTGGGAACAATCCCCAGGTTAACTGTGTGTGTGTGTGTAACGACGTCCTGCAAGGAAGGTCAACTACCCCTCTACAGTCTAAGTTAATAAGAAAGAGAGAGAGGAAGAGAAAGAACTGCTGGGAGGGCTGTTAAAAATACGCCCGTTTGGAAAAAAACGATATTGGATTGGCACTGCGGCGTCAGAATATTCAAGTCTTTAGTGACTATTGGGTGCGCACAATCGGGATGAGTTGGAATAAACGCCGATGTGAGGTATTGCGAACTTCCCAAACCGGTCTTTTCTGGATTCCCCAACTTACACTTTACAAAACATTTTTTTAATGCGAACAATAAAAGAAAAACACTCATATTTACCCCATTTGAGAATCATCCATAACGACTGGTAGCTGAGGTTTGCAAGGAGACAAAAGGGGTAGACATGCTTTGGAAGGTTCCATAGGTGACCTTACCAGACAATGGTATTTCCAAACGATATTGCATGATAGCCATTAATAGATTTAGATGATATGGTATTCTCACCATTTCTTAAAAAACTTACGTCAAGAAAAGTAAGGACGTCAATCGCTAAACCCAAATATCGTTGATTACGTTGTTGTCCTTCGGAGTTCAAAACCACTGTATTGGATTCCTTAGGATCGTCCTTGACGCCATTTAAAATAATATCAAAATACAACTCCCTCGTCGCGTCCACGCACTTTTCAAGTATTTCTGAAGGCAACTCTACAGTGGCATAATTCGAGAAGTTCCCAACAGAAGCCTCAGAAGAACTACAGCGTGGAAGCAAACGCACCAAGCCTACATTTTCGTCAATTGACGCGTAATCACCCTCTTCTAAGCTTTCATTCTTTTCAAACTCGGTTGATTGTGCGTTGAAAGGGTGAAAAATCTGAGGATATCGGCTAGAAAACTCGATGGAAGAGGTCTCCCCAACATGGTTGTTATAAACCGATTGGCGTGCGATACAAATACGTCGAATTACTATCGTCTGCATCCCAAGATTGATTAAACGAAATCTCATCACCTGATTTCTAGCTTGATGCTCTATAGTGGATAATTCGTTAAAATCGTTAGACGTGTTCACCAAAGGTGAAGGATATATGTATTGAAGATAGGGCAGGGTCTGGACCGCACTGAAGTGATTCGCACAAACGATATTATAGCTAAGATTCAACTTTTGGGAGGATAACAAATCGGATTCCGAAGTGTCTCGGTGAGATTGCCAGTATTCTAAGATTTGTTTAACATCGTCTTCATCCTCGCTTCGATCAAGTATAACGAGAGTTTGGGTCAATGAGCTCTTTTTTGCCCCAGAGGGGCTTGACGCATCTTTCCGAAATTCAACATTAGAATCACTTCTAAGTTCCCTTTCTTTTCCTTCCGCTTCTTCTTTTTTGTCTGTATTTTTAAAGGTATCAGCCCTTTTGGAAACTTTTAACTCTTCATTTACGCTATCTTGGATATTACAAAATGCTGTTGCGATAATTGCCTCTTTCGATAAATGCTTTGGAAAGTAATTAATAAGTTTTTTGCAGAACTTTCGATTTTCAGGTTGTTGAAGTAGCACATTTAAAGGTGAGAGATCCGAAGTGGGTTCTTTATCTGCTTGGTCTTTTGGAAAGTTTACTAATGATGATGATGATGATAAGAATGAGGTAGTAAAGGGGTTGATCAACCCCCTTAATGGTGCAATGTTAGTGGTACGATTGCTAGCACTACTATAGTCTTTAAAATAGGTTGAATAGTCATGAAAAATATTCCGAAGTCTCCGAAGATTCTGTGTGGCAGTGATGAAAGTTGGATGAAGGCCCCATTGAGCACGCTGCGAGGCCGAGATCCAGCATATTTCATCCGAGAAAATAGCCGTTTCATCCTGGATATTGACAATTTCTTTGCTTTCATAACTTTGTGAAGGAGACCTTACAGAAGATTTTATTTCCATCACGTAGGTTGGATAGGCTTGATACGCCTTTTCAAGGCTACTTGGGTCGTTATGTATGGCATAGGGCGCGGCTTCGGCCCGAGCGACGCGGCGAATCGCGCGATTTAAATAAAGCTCCCGCAGCTTATCCAACGCCAGCGCCGGATGCAAAGACGATGCCGACGAAGCGGATGGATCGGCCGGATCCACGGCCGAGCGAGACGCCGGATTCAACCGCGCGACTTCCTCAAAGACTCTTTTTTCGTCTTCCTCCTCACGTTTTGTAAAGTCATCGATGGGGGAGAATGAATTATTAGTTTGACCACGCCGCGCGGTATCACGTGAGGGGAGTTGCCGGGTGAGCAGGAGCTGGCTCCGCGCCGGTCGCCGCAGATCCACAAATTTATCCCACGCCATTTTCGAAAAACTCACCGGCCTCGCTGTAGTGAACGACGACGACGTTATTGCGGAGGAGGAGAAGTCCGAATCCCCGTGAAGAAGCCCATAGGCCCGGCCAATGACCGAATTCGCCTCGCGTTGGGCGTCCCGCCAGTCGCTCATCACGGGCGTTCTCCCGGAAGCCATGCCGTTCAGGTAGGCGTTAATTTCCTGCAAGGACGCGAAGTCGCCGAAACCCTGCCAGCGGCAGTATCCGCAGCCCACGCGATACCGCATCGCCCGCGTGAGCTCCACGTGAACCCCCGAGCAAGACGGGATCTGCACATCGCAAATCGCCCCCTCGTTCGTCCAAT